GAGGCTTTTGGGTTTTCTATGTAGAGTATCATGTCATCGGCGAAGAGGGAGAGTTTGACTTCTTCTTTGCCAATTTGAATGCCTTTAATGTCTTTTTGTTGTCTGATTGCTGAGGCTAGGACTTCCAATACTATGTTGAATAGCAGTGGTGAGAGTGGACATCCCTGTCTTGTTCCTGATCTTAGGGGAAAGGCTCCCAGTGCTTCCCAAATGAGAAATATATTTTCTGTGGGCTTTTCGTAGATGGCTTTTAGGATGTTGAGGAATGTTCCCTCTATCCCTACACTCTGAAGAGTTTTGATCAGGAATGGATGCTGTATTTTGTCAAATGCTTTCTCTGCATCTAATGAGAGGATCATATGGTTCTTGGTTTTTCTCTTGCTGATATGATGAATCACATTGATTGTTTTACAAGTGTTGAACCAGCCTTGTGTCCCGGGGATAAGTCCTACTTGGTCATGGTGAATAATTTTCTTAATGTGTTGTTGGATCCTATTGGCTAGAATCTTGTTGAGAATTTTTGCATCCATGTTCATCAGGGATATTGGTCTGTAATTCTCCTTTTTGGTGGGGTCTTTGTCTGGTTTTGGAATTAAGGTGATGCTGGCCTCATAGAATGAATTTGGAAGTACTCCATCTCTTTCTATCTTTCCAAACAGCTTTAGTAGAATAGGTATGATTTCTTCCTTAAATGTTTGATAGAATTCCCCAGGGAAGCCATCCGGCCCTGGACTCTTGTATCTTGGGAGATTTTTGATGACTGCTTCAGTTTCCTCCCTGGTTATTGGCCTGTTCAGGTTTTCTATTTCTTCCTGTTCCAGTTTTGGTAGTTTGTGGCTTTCCAGGAATGCGTCCAATTCTTCTAGATTGCCTAATTTATTGGCGTAGAGCTGTTCATAATATGTTTTTAAAATCGTTTGTATTTCCTTGGTGTTGGTAGTGATCTCCTTTCTCATTCATGATTTTATTAATCTGAGTCTTCTCTCTCTTCTTTTTAATAAGGTTGGCTAACGGTTTATCTATCTTATTAATTCTTTCAAAGAACCAGCTCCTGGTTCTATTGATCTGTTCCACAGTTCTTCTGGTCTCAATTTCGTTGAGTTCTGCTCGAATTTTAATTAACTCTCTTCTTCTGCTGGGCATCGGGTCCATTTCCTGTTTTTTCTCTAGCTCCTTTATGTGTAAGGTTAGCTCTTGTATTTGAGTTCTTTCCAGTTTTTGAATGGATGCTTGTATTGTGATGTATTTCCCCCTCAGGACTGCTTTTGCTGCATCCCAAAGATTTTGAACAGTTGTATCTTCATTCTCATTAGTTTCCATGAATCTTTTTAATTCTTCCTTAATTTCCTGGTTGACCCTTTTATCTTTTAGCAGGATGGTCCTTAACCTCCACGTGTTTGATGACCTTCCAAACTTCTTGTTGTGATTTAGTTCTAATTTCAAGGCGTTATGGTCTGAGAATATGCAGGGGACGATCCCAATCTTTTGGTATCGGTTCAGACCCGATTTGTGACCCAGTATGTGGTCTATTCTGGAGAAAGTTCCATGTGCACTTGAGAAGAATGTGTATTCAGTTGAGTTTGGATGTAAAGTTCTGTAGATATCTGTGAAATCCATCTGGTCCAGTGTATCATTTAAAGCTCTCGTTTCTTTGGAAATGTTGTGCTTAGAAGACCTATCGAGGGTAGAAAGAGCTAGATTGAAGTCACCAAGTATAAGTGTATTATTATCTAAGTATTTCTCGACTTTGGTTAATAATTGGTTTAAGTATTTGGCAGCTCCCACATTCGGGGCATATACATTGAGGATTGTTAAGTCCTCTTGTTGGATAGTTCCTTTAAGTATGATATAGTGTCCCTCTTCATCTCTTACTAAAGTCTTCGGGGTAAATTTTAGTTTATCTGATATAAGGATGGCTACCCCTGCTTTCTTTTGAGAACCATTTGAATGGTAAATGGTTCTCCAACCTTTTATTTTCAGGTTGTAGGTGTCCTTGTGTCTAAAATGAGTCTCTTGTAGACAGCAAATAGATGGGTCCTGCTTTTTTATCCAGTCTGAAACCCTGCGCCTTTTGATGGGGTCATTGAGCCCGTTTACATTCAGAGTTACTATTGAAAGATATGAGTTTCATGTCATCATGGTATCTATTCAGTCCTTGTTTTTGTGGATTGTTCCACTGGACTTCTTCTTAAAGGGGAATTTTAAGAGTCCCCCTTAAAATTTCTTGCAGAGCTGGTTTGGAGGTCACATATTCTTTCAGTTCCTGCCTGTCTTGGAAGCTCTTTATCTCTCCTTCCATTTTGAATGAGAGCCTTGCTGGATAAAGTATTCTTGGTTGCATGTTCTTCTCATTTAGGACACTGAATATATCCTGCCAGCCCTTTCTGGAGAGGTCTGCTGTTACCCTAATATTCCTCCCCATGAAAGTCAGGGACTTCTTGTCCCTTGCTGCTTTAAGGATCTTCTCTTTATCTTTGGAATTTGCAAGCTTCACTATTAAATGTCGAGGTGTTGAACAGTTTTTATTGATTTTAGGGGGGGATCTCTCTATTTCCTGGATCTGAATGCCTGTTTCCCTTCCCAGATTGGGAAAGTTTTCAGCTAGGATTTGTTCAAATACATATTCTGGCCCTCTGGCCCTTTCGGCGCCCTCGGGAACCTCAATTAAACGTAGGTTTTTCTTCCTTAGGCTGTCATTTATTTCCCTTAATCTGTCTTCATGGTCTTTTATTTGTCTCTTTTTTCCTCAGTTTCCCTCTTTGCCATTAACTTTTCTTCTATGTCACTCATTGGTTCTTCCACCTCGTTAACCCTCGTCGTTAGGACTTCTAGTTTGGATTGCATCTCATTCAATTGATTTTTATTTCTGCCTGATTGGATCTAAATTCTGCAGTCATGAAGTCTCGTGAGTCCTTAATGCTTTTTTCTAGAGCCACCAGTAGCTGTAGAATAGTGCTTCTGAATTGGCTTTCTGACATTGAATTGTAATCCAGATTTTGTAACTCTGTGGGAGAGAGGACTGTTTCTGATTCTTTCTTTTGAGGTGAGGTTTTCCTTCTAGTCATTTTGCTCAGTGCAGAGTGGCCGAAAACAAGTCGTATTGGGAAAAGGAGAAAAAGAGAGAGAAAGAAAGAGAAAGAGAAAAAGAAAAAAGAAAAAGAAGAAAAGAAAAAAGAGAAGAAAAAGAGAAAGAAAAAGAAAGAAAGGGGAAAAAGGGGGGGAAGCAATCAGAAATCAAAAAGAAGAAAAAAAAAAGAAAAAAAAAACAAAAACACGGGGGAGTATCTTCTGATTCTGTATACTTTAAGTCCCTTGACTTCCCCTGGAACTGGTCGTCTAGCTGGTCTTCTGGGGGAGGGGCCTGCTGTGCTGATTTTCAGGTGTTAGCACTTGGGGGAGCTGCTCTGCCCCCTGCCTGGTGCAGGGCTCAGTGGGAGTTGTTTACTCCGTGAGGCCCCAGGAGGAACAGCTGGCTATGGCAGCTCTGGAAACCTGGATTCAGCCCCCACAGTAACTACGGGGCTCTCCGTCCCGTCCGCAGGGCCTGGAGGCTCCGGGGCGGGGCCGCTGATCTGCTCAGCTCGGGCAGGAGCCTCCTCGCTGTCCTGGGCCCTCCCAGCCTCTGCCTGTCCAGGGGGAGGCCGGATCCTGGGCTGTGTCCCGGCGCCCTGTGCTCCGGTGCCTGCGCTGTTGGATTCGCGCTCCCGGTTGCGCAGCCGCCGCTCTGCGGAGCCTCTCGAGCCCCTCTGAGCTGCTCCCGGCCGCGCAGCCCCCTCTGCACGGAGCCTCTTCCTCTGCCGGAGCCGCCGCCGCCACCGCCGAGCTGCTCCCGCCCCGCAGCCCCCTCCGCGGAGCCTCCGCCCGAGCCCCTCCGAGCTGCTCCGGGTCCCGCCGTGAGCGCTGTAGCCCTTAGGGAGCTCGGCGCACTCTCCCGGGGCGCAGGTGTCTGTTAGTGTCCCAGGGAGCCCGAGGGCATCCCCGCCCTCCTGGGTCCTGCTCTAACTCCCTGCAGGTGCCTTTCCGCCCGGGAAGGTTGGTGCAGCTCCTGCTTCTCCGGGACGGGGCTCTCCTGTCCTGGGGACACTCGCCCCGGCCTCAGCCCGGCTCCTCGCAGGGCCCCTCCCCCTTGGAGGCCTTTTGTTTATTTCTTTTTCCCCGTCTTCCTACCTTGATAGAAGCGCAAACTCTTCTCACTGTAGCATTCCAGCTGGTCTCTCTTTACATCTCAGGCCGAATTCGTAGATTTTCAGGATGGTTTGAAGGTTATCTAGGTGATTTGGTGGGGACAGGCGATTTGGGGACCCTACTCTTCCTCCATCTTGCCCCTCACCTCCGAAACTTTTTTTTGAGTCAACTGTTTTGATGCTAAAAATACCGTTTCTTGGGGATGCCTGGGTGGTTCAGTTGGTTGAGAGTCTGCCTCTTGGTTTCAGCTTGGGTTGTGATCTCAGGGTCGTGGGATTGAGCCCAGCTTAGGGCTCTGTGCTCAGTGTGTCTGCTTGTCCCTCTCCCTCAGCTCTTCCTCCTGCTTTCTATCTCTCTCTCTCTCACTCTCTCAAAGAAATAAACAAAATATTTTTTAAAAATACCATTTCTTGCTGGAGTGGAAAATTAATTATTGTGATCCTATAAATTTTTTTTGCAAAACAAATCCATGAATTCAGTGAAAGCACAGTCATGAACTGTACTAGGTTTTATTTGACATGAAATAAAATGAGCTGATTAGTCAATTAAATGATGGAGAACATATGTGGGAGTAGCTGTTGATGGTGAGCTTGCCATAAAAAAGATGAAAATCAACACTATAGGCTTAGCAATTAAAATAGGAATTGAAAATATGGCAGTGGAGCAGAATAGATTCTGACAGGATGGGAGAAATGACAAGGTTGGTATTTCCAAACAGATGGTGCCCCAAAGCAACATTCTCTGACCATGCTGGAAAATGTGTGTGGTGAGGAGGTGGCCCAAGTGGATCAACTGGGTTTCATCATCTTTTTCAGACTTCCTTGGTTGTGTTCCTTCCAAAGCCATCTGTAGCATCAGCCAGTCATGGAGAAGGATGCTCTGAAGTCAGTCCCAGCACACCCATACCGAGCATCAAGAAGAAGGCAGATGAATACTTAAAACCCATTCTGGGGATCCCTGGGTGGCTCGGTGGTTTGGCGCCTGCCTTTGGCCCAGGGCGTGATCCTGGAGTCCCGGGATCGAGCCCTGCGTCGGGCTCCGGCATGGAGCCTGTTTCTCCCTCTGCCTGTGTCTCTGCCTCTCTTTCTCTCTCTATGTCTATCATGAATAAATAAATAAAATCTTTTAAAAAATAAAAAAAATAAAAAAAAAACCATTCTGTCCTCCAAAAACATGCTGAGCTTTCTACTTGGTAGGCAACTAGGGAGCCACAGAAATTATCTGGATCTGTCAAAGTGGCTATGGATGCTGACACAAGCCACACCAGGGTGGAGGTGGCCTTTGCCAAAAAACCACATAACTTACCTGCTTATGCCTGCCAGCAATTTTGGAAAATGCATAAAAAAAGGCTTAGAATAACAAACTCCTGCCTTGCTTCAGCTGTTAAAATAAAAGCTGCATTTTCGCTTCTATGGTTTGATACATTTTTATGCCCAAGCAGCTATCTTGGGTTAGTTAAACCGAACAGGGGATTCCATTCAATGGAATGCAATGGAACCAATGCTAGCATTGTGTGCAGGAGCTCTCAGTCTGGGAGGTTGTGAGATCACACGGCAAGTCACATTTCTTCCACCTTTAACCTGAAACAAAAGCAAGGGAGCAGTGATGTGGAATTAGTCCCCCTCCCCCGGAACCGAGACTCCTCTCCCTAGGCATTTGAGGAGACACCCACTGTGTCTCCCTGGAAAACCTAGCTGCTACCCTGGTGAAAGGTTAAGAACGGGCCTCAAGCAGTGTGGGAAGTTTAGGATACCCATATTTTTTATTCTGAGGCTCATGAGAATATCATTTAGAAATTACAGTCTTTGTTGGTTCTATTTCATATAAAGAGATCAGAGCACACGGCATTTTAACATGGGAACATCACACTTTAACAGCTCCAACCAGTCTTTAGGGTAAACTTGCTTTAAGCTTATGCGCTCCTTGCTTGCTCCTAGGTCCTTTGGTCTGTAGTGGAACTAACCTACTTTCCTTGAGATTTGCAGAATACTGGCCTTGAGGACTGGAGTTCCGGACTTTCCCAGAAGATAAGGCCTAACCACCTTTGAAAACTGCCCCCAACTGATGCCAGCAAGTTTGTTCAAGGACATGTCAACATGTGGCTAACCACCTGGGCACCTGCTTCTCCTGTGCACCGCCTGCCCCCTTTTCCTGAGCCCTCTCTTTTAAAACCCTCAGGCCCCTCCAGACATGGAAGATGGTCTATGAAACCTATGCCCACCATCCTCCCAGGTTGGTGGCTTTCTGAATAAAGCAACCTTTCCTTTCCTACTATCACTTGTCTCTTGAGTATTGATTTTTCACTGGTGAGCAGCTGAACCTGAGTTGGGAAGCAGTTCTCTGTCCAGGACCAATACCCACAAAGCCTCCTGAAGGTAATGACTCTTCTCACTGCCCTCAAGCCCTTCTCACTGCTCTCAAGCTGTTGCTGGCCAGGCCTTCTTGGGCCGGGTGCACTTTGTGGTGGCTGGCAGCAGAGAACTTATGGGACTGAGGGCCCCAGCCCCTCTCAGCAGGACGGGATGGGGGGCCAGCTCCCCAGGCAGAGCCCTCCAGGAGCCTGCGGGGCACGACCGTCCCTGGGGGAAGTGGGCACAGTAGCGAGGACATGGGGGGGGCGTGGGGAAGCCAGGGAAGACGCGACAAGGTTGAGCGGGGATTGTCCCCATGCCCCCCCCCAACCCCCGCCTGTCAGAGATGCTACCCTGCTACTTCCCTGCTCCTCCTGCCAGCACCTCAGGGCGCCGGCTCCTTCCTGCCCATCGGTTAGGTGGGACAAATCAGGCCCTCCGCATCCTATCCCCTGGTTCCCTGGCCTGTCCCCCTCGAAGCAGGGGCTGCCGGGCCCCAGGCCATGCATGCGGCGGTGGCGGCGATTGAGCTTGCTGCTCTGGGCACAGGCATAGGAGCAGAGCTCGCAGGAGTAGGGCAGCTCGTCCGTGTGGGAGCGCCGGTGCACCATCAGGTTGCTGCTGTTGGTAAAGTGCTTCCCGCAGAACTCACAGCTGCCCCCAGGCCCGCGGCTCTTGCCCACCGGCTTTGGCATCTTCTTTGGGCACAGCTTTTTTTAAAATTGAAATAAGTTTATTTGCAGGAGAACATCTGAACATCAGATACAGTCTGATCCACAATGATCCAACAACAGTCGGGACTCATTCTAGGAGTGCTCTTGGGCAGTTTGGAGGAGGAAGTCCATGTGGAGCAACAGCTGAACAGTTACCAAACTTCATAAAGCCATCCAACCTGAGTATTACACGATACATAATGACCATGACATGGTAATAAAAATACAATAGCAAATACTCACTACTTTGTGAGTTACAGTTACAATATAAGCAGTTTAGGCCCTCTTTTAAAAAATGAAAAAATATATCTATTACAGCTTTATTTCAAGCATTTCAGTTGGGGCTGTGCTGGGGGCCATTGCAATGTGCCCTCTGGTGCTCGGCAGCATGGGCACGCTACTGTGCACACAGGTCCCCAAAGCGGCGCAGCAGCTGGCACCGCCTACCACTTATCTCCCAGGGGTGGCTGATGTCCATTGACACAAAAATTGTAAAACTGTTCATGAGGCACAATTTATCTATTTACTTTCTTTTGTTGGTTGTACTTTTGGAATTGTGCTTTTGTATGTAAGGACCCAGGACCAAATCTAAGGTCATAATTCACCTCTGTTTTCTTTTTTTTTTTCTAAGTGTTTTATAGTTTTAGGACCTACATTTAGGTCTTTGATCCTTTCTGAGTAAAGTTTTGTATATGATGTGAGGTAAGAGGCCCATTTTATCCTTTTGCATATGCCTACCCAGTTGTCCCAGGATCATTTGTTAAAAAAAGATGTTCTTTTCTTCACTGAACTGGGTTGGTGTTTTTGGCTAAAATCAGTTGATTATTCAAAGATCCAGCATATGTAATGAACCCTTACAACTGAATAACAACAAGTCAAAATCCCAATTTAAAATTAGTGAAGGAGGGGCACCTGGGTGGCTCAGTGGTCGAGCTTCTGCCTTCTGCTCAGGTTGTGATCCCAGGATCCTAGGGTCAAGTCTGCATCTGCATCTGGCCCCCTGTAGGGAGCCTACTTCTCCCTCTGCGTATGTCTCTGCCTCTCTCTCTGTGTGTCTCATGAATGGATAAATAATATCTTTTTAAAAAATAAAAATAAAAATTGGTGAAGGACTTGTATAGAAATTTCTCCAAGGAAATATGCAAATTGCCAACAAGCACGTGAAAAGATGTTCAATGTCATTAGTTACTAGGCAAATGCAAATCAAAACCACAATGAGGTACCATTTCACACTCACGAGGCTAACCAAAACCAAAACCAAAATAAAACAAAACAAAAGAGAAATTAACACATGCTGGAGAGGATATGGAGAAACTGGAACCCTCACATGTTGCAGGAATGTAAAATGGTGTAGAACTTTGCAAAACAGCCCAGCAGTTCCTCACAAAAGTAAATAGAATTACCAATGACCTAGCATATACCCAAGAGAAATGAATACATATGTCTACACATACACTTGGAGACAGATGTGAATCTTACCTTTATTCAAAATAGCCAAATCGAAGAAACAAACCATATGTCCAACAAATGATTATTGGATAAACAAATTGTATATCCATATAATGGAATATTTGGCCATGCAATTGAACGATGTAGCAATCCATGCTACAACATGGATGAACCTCAAAAACATTGTGCTAAGTGAAATAAGCTAGAAAAAAGGGCCACCACATTTTATATGCTTCCATTTGTAGAATAGGAAAATCTATAAAATATCCTTGTCTTATTTCTGATTATGGGGGGAAAGCATTTAGTCTTTCACCATCAAGTATATTAACTGTAGGCTTTTTATAGATAGTCTTTACCAGATTGAGGAATGAATTGAGGATATTGATGTTTACTGGAAGATTTCTCAAGTTTCTTTCTGGTGTCATATGAATATTTTTCATTAGCAACCATTGTGTGATGCTGTTGAATTTACCTAAGCCATACTCTCTGCACATGGACTGTGTATCATCATCAGGCAAGGGATAACCTTAACATTTTTCTCTGGTGGAGGAAATGTACATAATCCACTCTTAGTAAGAAATAATATTATCAGAAAGAAATGAGGCTTCCTTTCTAGAAAGGAAGGGAATTTTCATTAAAATCACTTGCAAGTTAGATTGAAGGCCAAAAAATGTTTCAAAATATATGCATTTTCCCCCATTCAACTGTTCTTGCTATTCTTGAGCTCCTGACATTCAGTGTTAGGAATTCTTTTATTGCTAAGAAATTTGCTAGTAGGTTTTCCTGTAATATATGTTAAGACTTAGCTATTTCAACTGCCTGTGAAATGTTTGGATAAGTTGTAACCCTTAAACCAGTAATGGTGATTTTGCACATTCTAAAATTGTTGTTGATAGAGTGATTCAACAGTAATTTTTCTAACCTCTTCTTAAAAGGCTGATGAATCTAAAACCTCAAATTTCTGATTATGATGTTCAGAGATCCACACATTCCTTTACTACTGCAGTAAAATATTTTAGATAAAGTGACTTCCTGAAAAAAAATCAAACATTGCAGTGATTTTTGTTGTTATAAACTTCCACTTCCCTTCCCTAGGTCTTGTACTAGGGCTTTGTTTTCATTGTCATATAAATGTGCTACTGATTCTCTCTACCTAGGAGCCTTCTGTCATCCTCTCCTGCTACCGGTGCCACAGGGAGGTGTGGCTCTCCCTCAGGGTCAACCCATGTATCACAGATACTCTTTTGTGGCCCTGAGATCTTTATTGTCCCCAGCATCAACCTCACTTTTCTATAAAACCAGTTGAAATCTGTTCTGGTTTCTTTTGTGGGACTATTAGAGCATAAACATATGTATGTGATGTAAAAATAGTAATATAAAAAACTGAGCTGTGCCTTCAAGAAGGGGCTTGGACCTGCTGTTTGAAATACAGCTACAAGAGAATGCGAGGTCATCAATCCTGCCTTCCTGTCTCAGGCTATATTCCCTGAAAGTCCTGCCAGTGTTAGCTCACACTGACCCCAGGGCCAGAGACTTAGAAGAAAGGAAATATGCTCACTTTTATCTGTGCACCATCGGCACACACGCACGTATGCACCAGGCTCTGTGCTGAGTGTTTGACGGGTGATGTTCTGTGTAACGCTGCCATCTCATGCAAGCAGCAGAGGACAGGTCTGCCTGTGAAGGTTGCCAGCAGGGGCGCAAGATTGGAGGCTGGATGAGGAGTTCTCCCATCAGATATTTTCTAGTACCTCTTGAGTATCTGGGCTCCTCACTGTTCTAGGCTCAAGGCACAATGCCTCAAGGAAGAACACCATGTGGTGATGACAGGGGAAGATCTGCCTGGGGGAGGTGACAGGGTGGAGGAGAGGTGACAACCGGAAGCGTGGGTCTAATACAATAAAAAAGAGCCTAACTTCTGATGTGTTGATATCAAATAGAACTATGTGTGACTGGGAAACTCCAGAAGGAGGAAAAAAGATGGGTAAGCAGAAATGGATCTGGGGTCCAGAGGAAAATGAGGTAAAAAATCAAAACCCCAACTGGTGTGTGCTCTGCTCCAAAGACAAGCAGCAAACCCTCCCTCCACAGACCAGCAGACAGCCTTCAGACAAGCCCAGTGCCAGTTAGTGGGTATCTGGACCCCTCTCCATATCTGATGCTCTTTGAAGGTGCTGGGCTTGACTTTGGGCACTCCAGTAGCTGAAGAGTGACTGTGGAAGGGTACATGGGTGGCTCAGTCAGTGAAGTGTCTGCCTTTGGCTCAGGTCATGATCCCAGAGTCCCAGGATTGAGCCCTGTATCAGGCTCCCTGCTCAGTGGAGAGTCTGCTTTTCCTTCTTCCTCTGTTCCTACTCTCTATCTCAAACAAATAAAATCTTAACAAAAAAAGAAAGAAAAGTGATGTGATGTGGAGACAGTGGAGACCATCCCAGTGAAAGGAAACAGAAGCTAACTGTGACCCCTTGCTGAATCAGTGGCAATATTTTCACAGTTGTGACTCACTTCCTATACGTGATGCATGAAAGCAAATGGAAGGGTTGTTCTTTCTTCCCTGTTTTGATGTAGTTCTGATTATAAGGTACATGGGTCTTGTTTCATGGGGTCTTTGGATCCCTGGGTGAGCATGAACCATGATTTTTTAAAAAAGTCTTTCCCCAACTTTGGACAGTGGCACAGTGTATACTCTCCACCAAACT